AGAATAAAAAACAGGAGAGGTCCTTTGCAGGTCTGGGAGAGGGAGGCTCTGAGCTGGGGTAGGCTTGATTGTAGTGCCTGGAGATGCCGGCGCATTGCTGCAAGTGTGTGTTTCAGGAGTCGCAGGGAGAAACGCTTCTGAAGGATCTCAACACCATGAGTGTAGATATTATCACGGTTGGGGCCAAATTGGGAAGGCTTGAATGTGGATTGTAGTCCATTGGGGATGATCTGGTTCCGTAGGCAGGTGCTAAGGAAGGTGATGTGGCTGTAGTACCTGGTTTGCTTCAGGACGTGGTCGAGCAGTTTCAGGGCCGAAGAGATTACGAGAGAGTTGCAGTGGGAGAGAGATCCCTTGAGGTTTGTCCGGAGGGAGGAGGGTAACTTCTTCAGGTTAGGCATCCTTAGAAGAGGCTTCGCAGTGGGGTTAAAATCGAATCAGAGATAGTAGGAACCCTGCAGCCCAATGGTATCAATGTGGATTTCACAAGTTTCAAAATCTCCCCTCCCCCCACCGCATCCCAAAACCAGTCCAGCTCGTCCCTGCCTCCCTAACCTGTTCTTCCTCCTCCCACCTCAAGCCGCACCTCCATCTCCTACCGACCAACCTCATCCCGCCCCCTTGACCTGTCCGTCCTCCCTGGACTGACCTATCCCCTTCCTAACTCCCTACCTACACTCACCTTTCCTGGCCCCATCCCCGCCTCTTCGACCTGTCTGTTTCCTCTCCACCTATCCTCTCCTCTATCCATCTTCTATCCGCCTCCCACTCTCTCCCTATTTATTTCAAAACCCCCTTCCCCTCCCCCTTTTCTGATGAAGGGTCTAGGCCCGAAACGTCAGCCTCTCTGCTCCTATGATGCTGCTTGGCCTGCTGTGTTCATCCAGCCTTGCACCTTGTTGTCTCGGATTCTCCAGCGTCTGCAGTTCCTACTATCTCTCTTCCTTCAGCCTTAAATTTTATTTGGGTTTGTCAAACTGTCTTACTCACTAAAGATTTATTCTGTCTCTCAAGAATGTTCTCCAGTAATTTGTCCATAACTGAGGTTTGGTTGACTGATGTCTATTAATCAACCTACCCCGTCCTACCTTTATCAAACAACAGTACAACATTAGCAGTCCTTTGGCAGCATGTCAGTAACTTAAGAGAATTGAGAATAGATTGCCAGAACCTCTGTTGTTATTCTTGTTCATTTGAGGTGCCTTTCTTCCAAACCTGGCTATTTATTCACTTTCAAAGGTGCACAACAACTTAATATTTCCTTCCTCACTAAGGCTATCCTTTCCAACAGTTCACCTCTATAATTACTGTGTTTGCTTCATTTTTTTTTGTGCAACAGAAGCACAGTTGGTTCCTCGGCCTGTTTTGGTTTTTTTTAACCTGGGTGGTGAGGTTAGTTGTAGCACTGCTACTGATAAAATTAGCTACTTCAGCACAAAAACTGGGAATCATTCATGAGATTTTCTCGTGTTTGGCTTGGCTCCTCACTGGATAAACATGCAAAACCTTTGGGGAATTTGCTTGAAAGCACAGTACAGCAAAGTTTACATTTTTACTCCAAACTGTGAATACAGGAGCTGTTTGATAATGGTGCACTTTGACACAAATGTCTAAAAATTGCAAAGTGTAGTTAGAGTAAAAGGTTTTGACTAAACAATATCTTGATATTATTGCTAAAGGAATTTTGATTTTTTAAATTTTGATCTGAGGGAGAGTAGGGGGATGAATGTACTCATGATGTGTCATAAATCCAACCAACATCTGTTGCCAGATATTCATGAAATATGGCCGCCAGCGGTGGAAGTTGAAAGGTCGCATTGAAGCAAATGGGAAGCAAGTGTGGGACGGCGAGGAGATGGTATTCCAACCTCTTGTTACAGAGTTCCTGTCAATCAAGGTGAGGACCTCTCAAACTCGCTCACTTACCTTGCAGTTATTAAGTTTCATCGAATAAAATCTGTTCGGAGAGAATGATTAAGTTTTTAGTGTTCTCAGATGGTGCAATGAGACATCCGTCATGACTTTGTTTACTAAACTTGTTCCTGTTTACGAAGAGAAAATTCTTCAGCAGGAGGTCAGTTTATGCAAAGATTTCTGCAAGAAGTGACTTCAAATTTTATTACCACAAACTGTCAGACTAAAAAGCCAAATACTCTGTTAATGTTGCCCGTGCTAAAAATAAAATCCTTTTAAGTAAAAATTGAAATTAAAAACAAAACCTAGAAGCTACAATTTCTTTTCTCTCCTCATCCTGTTCCATGCTGCAGTATCCCTCACAGAAGAACATCCAAATGATCTCCAACCTCTCAAAAACTTTGTACACAGTCTTATTCTGACTGTCCAGCTGAACATATCATATGGAGGACTGCAGTTATGTATCTGTATGTTTCCACTGTATGCACAGTTTCAAGTCTGGCTTCCTACAGAGCCATTTCAGACTCCAAAATGTTAACTTTCTCTCTCCACAGACACTGCCAGAGTTGCTGAGTTTTTCCAGTACTTTTTGTTCTTATTTCTTGTAACTTGTGGTGATCATAAATCATGTTGTTAAATTTTAGGCACTCTGTAAATTGAAATAGCAGCTGCACAGGAAAGAAGATCTGCTGAGTTTGGACTGCATTTGTTGGACTCGATGGGGGCAAAAGTCTCTCAGTATTTTGTAAAATTTGTTATTTTGATGCATTTATGGGATGTTGGTGTTGCTGGCTGGACCAGCATTTATTGCTCATCCTTCGTTGGCCTTGAGAAAGTGGTGGTCAGCTGCCATTTTGAAACATTGCAGTGCATTTGGTGTAGGTGCACCCACAATGCTGTGAGGGAGGGTGTTACAGGATTTTCACCTGGCAACACTGAAAGAATTACCATTTCTAAGTCAAAATGGTGAGAATCTTGGAGGGGAGCTTGCAAGTGTTGGTGCTCCTATGTATTTGCTGCCTTTGTTCTTCTAAATGGCAGCAGTCATGAGTGTGGAAGATGCTGCCTAAGTAGCCTTGATGAATTTCTGCAAGTTTCATCATCACTATTTACAGCAAGATGGCAAGCTTCTTTATTGAAGCTGGAGAAAGACAAAATGCTGGATAAACTCAGTAGGTCTGGCAGCATCTGTGGACATAACTTGGAATCAGAGTTATTTCCACAGATGCTGCCAAACCTGCTGAGTTTCTCCAGCATTTGTTGGTTTTATTTAACATCTTTGAACTTTGCTTTTATTTTCCTTCATTGAAGGTTTTGACTCTTTATTGGTGAAATGGTCACACGTAACTGCTCACTAGTGAAACTCTCAAATGCCCATTCCTCATGTGTAAATCTTAATGGTGAGAGTTGGAAGACTGGTAAGTTGCACAGGCATCATGACTGAGCCTTACCCGGCAAGTGATCTTTGCAGGATGTGGCATCATTGGGTTGTAAAATAGGGAATGGGAATCCTGTCTGATCGTTTCCATTCTTCCCCACCCGCTAATACCCCAGGACATTGAGGCCAAGTGCAACATTTGTATTGTCACTTCCCAGACAGGTTGAGTTGAGCCTTGAATGTTCCTGGCTCTATATTTTCTGGTATTCACTGAGTAAACTCATTGTCCTATCATGGGAGCCAGGTCCATAAGATACGAAGTGCAACAGAATTATGGCTAACTTGGGTTTTTGTAAATTTAGCAATATTTTAAAGTTAGTCATGAAGTTGTTCATCTTCTGATGGTCTGTAATGGCGTGGAAAGGCAGTCCAAAAGTGAATCTATTTTTCTTTCACCCCTTACCACGCACACAAACAGATGCCACCTCTCACAAATGAGGGACAGGGAAAACGTTTTCTTAAGGATGTGGGAATCATTATCAGAGGTCAGGGAAGGAAGAATTTCAAGAGCAGATCATAATCTGATTTTCTGCAATGGTGAGGTTCTTTTGTAAGCC